AAAAAAAAAAAAAAAAAAAAAAAAAATGAATAAATAAATAAAAATTAACAATAGCTAAAACTGTCATTCAAATATTTAAGACTACCGTAAGCATCAGTCATCTTACTTCGACAATTTCTGATATTTCAGTTTGATTATAAGCTTCCGGACGTCTAAGTGCTTCCAAGTTACCCGTATAGGGAAACATGTCTTCGTATTCCATCAAAATTCCATCAACACCGAGCGCTTTTAGAAATGGAATTAACTGTACAATATAGGATGTCTTTGGTGCAGCACCCTTTAGATCGAAATGTACAATCTTCTGTAAATACCGCAAACAACTGTAATCTGATTGAATTCAAATATCTCATACAGTGTTTAACCACTTCCAATTTCCTTTTTTTTTTTGCTCCAGTTTTACGCTCCTTACTTGTATCATTTATTTCCCTATTCAGTCTCTTACTTCTTCACTTAATTTGATGTCTAATTTTTCTTGTCATATCAAGCTTTCTTTTTGAATTGTTGTAAACGCATAAACTAGATAAGTGATGAGTAAATACGTACTGCTAGGACAACTTATGTATTTAAAGCAAAAACTTGTGGTCTAACAAAAATAAAAATTTTTCCCACCTATGCTATAACTTCAGAACACTTATAGCATCCTAAAAAAAAATCTGGCAATAAGAAAAATAGATTTATATTTGTCTCGGCAATTAATTTACTAGTTGTCAGCAACTAAAATATGATAATGACTCAAGAAAAGCTCTTGACTGCAGACTCATAGTGTCAGTTGTTTACGTCAAATTTTTTGTTAAAAATCATAACTCAAATTTTCATCTTATGCTAGCCAGTATTCTCTCAACAACTAAAATTACCACTTCCTTAATCAGGCAGATTCAGACATTGTTCATCACAAAAAACTCATGATCAATCATACCAACAAAAGAATTGCTACAGCATTTCCCTTGAACAGAATTATGTAATCTCTGTCTTCCGTAATGTCCTATCTTCGACCATTTTCTTTCGTATTATGACTCATATATACTCATATATCAGCGAGACTCTAGTAAACAAAAACTGTCTTTAGTATAAGATAAGTAGTACTCGCTTTTACTACCCATTAACTTTGACTTGATTCCCTCATGTATTGGAAACGATTACAGTGAATTTTATAGTGTTCCATTTTTTTTTTTTGCATTCTCTCTTGAGTAGTACTTTGAAAACAAAACGTACAGCAGTAGCTCCTTAAAAAAACCGAAAAACTTAAAAGTTCATTTCAACTCACCTTTCCGTTTTCCTCCATTACGAAAATGTTTACCTTCAGAGTTTTGTTCTCAAAAAATTTTTCTTAATTACTTAAAAAAAAAACAGACATTGCTCTCCCTACCTGAATTATAAGCCAACTTATCCTTCCAAAACTACAGTGCCTAATCGTAAAATTTTCTACGCTTCTTAAAAGTATTTTTAAATAAATGTTTGACAAAAAAATTTTGGACCATGAATTTGCAGACAATCACAGCTGTCTAAAAATAGAAGTTAAGCGTGCAAGGCAATGCAGTCAATAAAAAACGGTTTTGCTATACCAAATTCCATGTAGAAGTTCAAGAACCGGTTAAGAAAGTTACAGAAGATTAGCGAGTGCAAAAAATCCTTAAAAGAAGCAATTTACATAATAATACTGTACAAAAAAAAGCTTATTGTTACTGTATTTTACAATTTAGTTCCCACTGAGAATGGTAAAATCTTCTGCTCTCATCCTCCACTTACAACATTTTTCTTATAACCGCACAGAATTCAAAAAAGTAATGTCAGAAAGTGAGCAACTGCAGCAAGTTGGAATGTTAGACGACAGTTCAAAAAAAATAGTGTTTAAAAAGTTTCAATTCACAGACTAAACTCATCGATAAAGCTAAATTTATTCGATCACAGAGAATACAGTTGCAGTGTGTTAGAAAGTAAAAATTCTCCTCAAATAATAACCTTTTGAAATGGCGAATTTTCTCGAGCTTCCATCATCAGCGGTAAACCATACCCATCGATATTAATGATATAAAATAAGAAACAAAAGAAAAATCCCACTCCACATAGGAAAAACACGAATGATGACGCC